TGCACATCTATTGGACAAAATTAAATCGATAGTAACAGATAAACAGCAAGTAGGAAATAGACATCACATTGATAGAAACAGTTGGACATCAAGTGGGCTGTAGCTAAACGGACAACATCAATGACGTAAGTAAAAAAGTCGACCTGGGAACCACGGTTTAAAAAAAAAAAAAAAAAAAGACAGGTTCTGTCAGGACCCGAACCCACGACCTTCAGATCCTCAGGCGAGCGTCTAGCCACTACACCACGACGACTCCCACGACATCAAATGGATAGTAGACATGGGATGACTGAAAGTGGGCTGTAGCAAATGATCATTAGCAAATGCACAGAAGTAAATTGAGGGTAGCAAATGGTCATTAGCAAATGCACAGAATTAAATTGAGGGTAGCAAATGGTCATTAGCAAACGCACAGAAGTGAATTGGGGGTAGCAAATGGTCATTAGCAAATGCACAGAAGTAAACTGAGGGTAGCAAATGGTCATTAGCAAATGCACAGAAGTAATCTGAGGGTAGCAAATGGTCATTAGCAAATGAACGGAAGAAAATTGAGGGTAGCAAATGGATCGACAGCAAACGCAAAATATGTATGTGATATACCAAATGGTCATTAGCCGACTCACGGATAAACTGATATTAAATTTAGGAAATGCAGAGGTTAGTAAACTGAGGGTAGTAAATGGGGGGGCAAATGCACAGAAGGGGGGGGGAGCAAATGCACCGACAGTCTTTAAAATATGTATGTGATATACCTCTCCTTACCTGACTCAGATCTGAATATTTTTGGGGGTGAGTTGGGGTCTGGAGGGGGGGGGGGGTTTACTTATGTATATTTTTAATCACCAATGTTATGAATTTCTTGTAGTCACAGCTACCGCAATAGTAATTTGAGAAAATCCCTGTAATCGCTTGCACTCCAGGTTAGGAACATTACCCACTTGAGAAACACATAAAGATTGGTTATCTCTACCAGATTCTTATGGATAATATTTAAATTCCCTAACAACAGATCATTACATATCACCTTTCTCCCACAAATAGGGGCGGAGCTAGTCTGTTTGTTCTATAAAAGACATCATTGTTCGTAGTTACGTGAATGCAGAACACATCCAGAGACCATTTCTAGGTTTGTGAAATTATTACAATATATAATTTAATATAATTTGTGTGCCGTCTCCACAATGGATATTGGACTACTGCTGCTGATATCTGCTCTATGGATGCATTTAGGAATATTATTCAATAAGGTCCTAATCTCTTCCAAAGTGCAAATCTCAAATAGCAAAGGAAATAAAAAGGAGAAACGTCTTTTTCTAAACAGTATGTAGCGGAAATTAAATCCTCGTCTATCGACTATGGAACATGATCACAAACCTCTTGGGTTCAGCGCCGAACAAACACGTATAATCTACTTCTGGTACAATTACCTATGTTTTTAAGTGGAGTTGATTTATCAGCTTCCATTTTTCCACAGGTTTTGTATTTACTGAAGGTTACACGGTTTTCGCTTGTCGCAGACAGGATGACGTGAAATCTGCGTCCTAGCACATAAGGACATTCTCTCTCACTCACAGAGCATGTTGAGAAAGGTGAACACAGGCATGCTTCGTGCAGATTGGCAAGCATCACTTTAGAGGTCCCGGGTGATTAGCATCGTTTAGATATTTTCTCCATGTCATGCCGGTGTGTAGAGGAATGAGCAGACAGATAGACTTGCTTGATCTGCACCAATTGGAGGCGAATTGATGTAATATAAGTTAAATATTGTAAGGGCCCTTTGGGAACGGGTGAACAGTGCGGAGGCACAGGCAGATAATCAAGGTCTAATGAGAATAGCGTTGCGAGGAGTTACCAGGGGATCTTGCCGACGTTCATTATTCAGAGAAATTATGAGAGTGATATACAATCAGACGGTTACTGGTACCATCGGAATCGGAACTCTTCGATGCTGCTGAAGATGGCGACTGAGCACTTGTGGGAGTGTTCCAAGTGCTGTGATGTCGATTCCTAATTCAATATTCAAGGACATTTTCATCTTCAGCAGCAAGCGCAGCGTTACAGTTTCGATGGCAACGGTCTGACTGACTGTATGACCATACTGCCTTTCTTGTGAGTGTTGAGTGTCAGTCGTATCCCTGGGTCACTCATCGCTGCGTTAATTTCGTCAGACTTTGATTTGTTTGAACCTCTGCACTGTTCACTCGCTCCCAAAGGACACTTGCAACATCTAGGTTGACGTGCGTCATTTTTACAGCAAGTGGTATGGAACAAGCCAGTCTACACACCTTTGAGACCTGGAGATGAATATATATATATCTTTAGGACGCCTACTACCGGGGATCTCTGAAGCTCATGCGACAGGTGAATTCATTGGGTGGCACCAGAAGTTCTCAAACTCTGAGGTACTGGAAGAAGCCGTCATAACACACGTTTTCACAAAGCCCAGTCTCTGCAGTTACAGATGGCTAGGTGCCACATGGAGGATGGGGGAGTCATTACCAGCACTCTCTTTGATGAATAACAGATGTCAAGAAGATGTCTTTGGCTGCCTCTACAGCATTGAAAAGGCATGTACAAGTGGTATATGAAGGACAAAGATATTGAGGTGAATTGGGGTGAGGAGGATACCACGCACCATATTGCATGTGGATAAAAAAAAAGGGGGGTGGGGGGAAGGGGGATTCAGGACGGGGATATGAGTAAATAGGAAATTATGCAGAGAGATTATGAGCCTTTAATAAAAAAAAAAAGAAGTTTAAAGCTTGAAGTTTGAGATTTTGAACAACGGATCACCATCATGGTGTAAACCATAAGTACTCCGTTCTTCTTCTAACTAAAGTCTGAGTCCGAAGAAGCTCAGCACAGTGTACAGGATCTGTAGTACCGGCGATTATCCTGAAATACTTTGGGTAGATTTTAAACTCCAAATTTTGCCATTCAACACCGTTAGGCTACTCTGTTCGACTTGCAACTGCCAATGGGTTTTTTACATGCGCAACAATGCACACGGGCGTCTGATATTACTACCCAGAGACCAGGGGGAATTACTACAAGTCCAAATCCACGTGAAAAAATCCCATCCCTTAACGGGACTTGAACCCAGAACCTCTAACACTCGAGGAGGACACCATGCCTCAAAACTACGCAGTCCCCTCGGAGAAGAAGTGAGCTTAGTAAGTACCATTGCCATGAAATCCCTTGCTCTAACTGTGGAAGACTTTTTCTCAACCTGAGTGAGCCTTCCTAATCACAGATGATTGCCATGGGATGTGGTTCCCATGTCTTCCTATATAACAACATAACACTATCGCATGAAAAGACGGAAAGGTGTCACCAACAAAAGTGATGGAGCTGTAGTTTAACTTTCATCTCATGAGACCAGAGTGGCTGGCTTAGAAATAAAAGACGAAGAAAGCGGAGACCTGAAGTTATAGGACTGACTGACTGACTGATGTACAACCCCACCAGGACCCCACGACCAGCTATTTAATACCCGGTGACACAAAATTCCACCATTCGGATAAGAATGATTCTGGTGCACCTCACAGAAACCCAGCTTAATCAGTGTGTTATCTTTAGGACCCCCTACAAAAGCCAGGGTGGGATATGACGAATATAGGACAAGATAACAATCTTTATAATTAGTGACAGCATTTGATGAGGAATTCAAAGATATTTTAAAAGTACACAACCACAGAAGCGGATCAAGAATTAAACTACACAGTCTGATGTGCAGCTGTCACATAAGGGGGCATATGAATAATGTTAATTTAGGAATCAAAATCACAGCACTAGGGACCTTCACATAAGCGTTCCGTTCCCATCATCAGCAGCAGGGCTGATTCAAATGGTACCGGTAACAGTTTGTATATCAGTCTGGTCTTTCGGTTGAGTGTTGAGAGTCATGGCCGCTACGCCGGTCACTCATTGGAGAACTTTTTTTCTCAGACCGTGGTTATCTATTTGTGCCTCCCAATATTCACGCACTCATAGAATACCCTTACCACATTAAGCTTGTCATCACTCAGTTTACCTACCTAGTGGTGCAGGACCATTATGTCCTACACAGCCATAACAATGTCAATGGCAGTGAAGACATTTTTTCACGCTATTCTGGATTTGTAATAGGTTGTAATGGGAAGTGAAGGTGTACTGGTTTTAAGAAATATAAGAATAATTGCTTATAGCAAAAACAGCTAATGAGTGAAATTTAATTTTTTTGGGACGACTCCTGCATAAATAAGAACAAGATTTAAAAACAGAGACAAGCTGACGACTATCGTAAATTGGTACCAGTTCACGCTTAAGTCTGTTCTGGTTTATATTGCTATACAATACCTAAATTTCCTTGAGGAAACATAACAATACTGAGCCAAACCAAAGACAAGTTTAGTAGTTGCAGAAGATCAAATAGTAGTATTAGATACCTAAGCAGCTGTAGTACTGGTTGTGATGGCGGTGGTAGCAGAAACAGCAGTAGTAGTAAAATAATTGGTAATAGTAATAGCAGTATGAGAAGAAGTATTGTAGTAGTAAAATTACCTGTCGTAGAAAAAGCAGTGAATTTGTAGTAACAGCAGCATAGCAGCAATAGTAATAGTATTAGCATCAGTAGAAGCAATAATTAGTAGTTGCAGGGGGGGAAAAACCAAGACCAAATTAAAGCAGAAGAAAAAGAAGAAGAAGAAGAAGAAGAAGACAAAGAAGAAGAAGAAGTAGTAGTAGTAGCAGTAGTAGCATCAGCAGCAGCTGCAGTAGTAGTAGTAGTAGTAGTAGTAGTAGTAGCAGCAGCAGCAGAAGAAGAAAAGGGAGAAGAAGAAGAAGAAGAAGAAGCAGAAGAAGAAGAAGAAGAAGAAGAAAAAGAAGGAGAAGAAAAAGAAGAACAAGAACAAGAAGAACAAAGAACAAGAACATCAAGTAGAAACATACCTTTAAAATCTGTCGCCGGCAGCTCCCTACAGTTTATTTTAATCTTCCTACAGGCGAAGCAACATCTCAAAATGGCGACACTCATTATTGGTAAGTTGAAATGAGTTTGCTTCATAATATGTTTAGAAATAAAATCTTCACTGCACAAAGATAGTGTATGAGCTCTCAATGGTCTGCTACATAAACTAATACTAACGGTAAGCCAAAGAGCTTGAAATTCTATTCATGTTCGCCTCTAGAAGAAACGCATATCTACTGAATGGAATATGATTTTGAAATAACTATGACAGTCAGAATCTTTGTAATTTAATGAGTGAATGTGTTCAAATTGCACACAAGAATATCATAGTGTCCAATCAATCAGTTAACAATTCATTTGCATCAGGGTAATCAATTTTTTTTTTTTTTTTTTTTGCTTAGGGGGCTTTCCATCACTTAATGAAAATACAGCATCAAAATACTATTTTCAACAGGAAAGTTAAAATCGGAAAGAAAAAATTACATTTATTTTTGCAGAGTTGATATACCAGTGGAACAGATGGTTCTATCTCTTCTTCTCTTAATCCAATAACCTCATCTTTTCGAGGGAGGGGGGGGGGGTGGGAGAGACGGGGGGGGGGGGGGGGGGGGTTGTTGTAAGGGTCCTCTGTGTTTTCTTTCTATTGCAGGAAGCGATCACTTCTTTAAAACTGTTCTTGATGTTGTCCTGACAGCTTTCTCCTTCGCTTGGTCTTCCCATTGCTGTGTGCTGTGTGTTCATTATATTTCTTCTACTTGACTTTCTGCAGCTGCTGGTACCAGAGCATTCTTGATAGATGGCCAAAAAAAACTCATCTGTTTTAATTAATTTTTTTTTTCATTTAAATTTATGACTAAACTTAGCGCTAGTCTTTTTCTAATTTCTGAAATTTTATATTTATATTCTTTAGCTCTGTATGTATGTATGTATGTATGTATGTATGTATGTATGTATGTATGTATGTATGCATGCATGTATGTATGTATGTATGTATGTATGTATGTATGTATGTATGTATGTATGTATGTATGTATGTATGTATGTATGTATGTATGTATGTATGTATGTATGTATGTATGTATGTATGTATGTATGTATGTATGTATGTATGTATGTATGTATGTATGTATGTATGTATGTATGTATGTATGTATGTATGTATGTATGTATGTATGTATGTATGTATGTATGTATGTATGTATGTATGCATGCATGCATGCATGCATGCATGCATGCATGCATGCATGCATGCATGCATGCATGCATGCATGCATGCATGCATGCATGCATGCATGCATGCATGCATGTATGTATGTATGTATGTATGTATGTATGTATGTATGTATGTATGTATGTATGTATGTATGTATGTATGTATGTATGTATGTATGTATGTATGTATGTATGTATGTATGTATGTATGTATGTATGTATGTTTGTATATGTGTGTGTGTATGTATGTATGTATGCATATATTTTTTCAACATGTGTATGTGTTACTTTTGTATGTCTGTGCTCTTGTATATTCATATATGTAGCATTTGTTTATAATATACTTTTTGTATGAATTTCAGTATTTTTTTTTAAATTTCAGCAATCGTTATGGGAATCATTGGTGAGTGACAATTATTTTACCTCTAAATGCTTTTGATTTTAATTAAAAACATGAGCACATCTGACTATAGACAGGAGCTCTAACACAAGGAAATTGTAAACTAAAGTGTTTGATGGGCACTCAGCCCCGTTACACTCTTTCTAGTTGAAGGATCAGAGCTTATGCTGAAAAAAAAATGTCTAGGCACTACTGCTAACTGGGGAGTCGACGTGGTAAAGGGGCTAGACGCTCGCAGCAGATCGGAAGGTCGTGGATTTGCTCCATGGCGGAGTCGGACATTTTTTTTCAAAAATGACCTTGGCTCCCAGGTCGACCCATCCTTGAGTGGGTACTGGATGCAGTCCCGGGAGTAAAGGCGGCCGGCGTGATACTGTCCACATCACCCAGCTTGTACCTATTGGTCAATAAAATATGGGTCTAGTCCTATATTCCCTATACGCCCAAAGGCGTGGAAAAGGGTCCTGTGCTCATTACCACTGCTAATAACGTTAATAACACACAGAAGATGGCACTCATTTGGATGCCTCCCTTGAAGAAACGAGCAGAGAATCAAAAGGACAGGGGGAAGGGGATAGCAGGGTGCTCTAACATAGGTTAAAAATGGGTGGGATTGGGGTTAGGAAGAGAGAGCGTCCAGAACGCCCCCTCTCTCCCCGTCTTACCATAAAACAAACATTAATGAGAAAAGCCAAGAGCGTTGGAATGGATTACATACATGACATCAAACTGACTGCAAGTTCAGCTCGCTAGAGCAGTTGGTTAAATCTGACTGCGCGGCGACCAGGTGACAACTTCTTGTGGCCCGAGTTCACGCCCGGGCGTAGGCAGAAAAGCCACATTTCTTCCAGATTTACGGTATCATGGAATCAAGGCCGAGGGGTTGCGATATCCATAGTACAGATTCAAAGGGTTAACAACTCCTGGTTTCTGGATACTTAAAGAAAAGGGTGATTGCTCAGGATAAAAAAAAAGAAAATGAAAGAATAGACTGCGAGACATATGTGACATATACCAGGACAATGATGTTAACGATGATGTAAATGAGAGACATGGACAAAAAGCAGACCAGGTGGTATTCTACTTTTCCACATGGGACGCAATTTTTCGACAATTTGAAACCAGTCTCTGGTTGTTCCCTTAGGTCTACCCAGCCTTGAGTGGGTACAGTGTGCAGTCCCGGGAAGTAAAGTCGACCGGCGTGATGCTGACCACATCACCTATCTTGTGCTGATTTGTCTATAAAAAATTTAGGTATAGCCCAAATATGTTCTATACGCCTAAAGGCGTGGAAAAGGGTCCTTTACTTTTACTTTACTGTGAATATTGCCAGGGGTCATAATTTGACCCAACCTATGAGTTGAACGGGGTTTCTGGGACCGGTCCCGGGTGATCCTCATTCGAATGGTGACACTTTGTGTCACCGGTGTTTATCGCTCGATGGTGGGGTCATACGTCAATTAATAAATCGATCATTAAGCAGACAAGCTTAAAAAAATATTTACCTGCTTAAGCGATGTGGTTTTTTGAGAAAATGAAACGAATGTTATGAAATTATGGAAAATCAAAGAGGTCAGTCCTCCTTGATGCAGATGAAAGTTGTAAACTGATTTGAAATGTAGACGTTCACATTCAGTGTTCCTCGGACATGTTCTATTAAGAAGACTCAACAACTTCGTAACACCTACCACAATTAGTTTAGGGGGAAAAGAATAAGTGGAAGGCACAGAGATATATAGATTGATTGCTTAACGATATGGATTGGGTGAGAAAGAACATTGACACGACCTATGATTCTGGTAACCGTGTGTAAATGGCAAAACATGACAGTCTTTGCTTATCTGTATAGTAAAAGATGATGATGATTTTTGTTGGTATTATAAGTCTGAAGTAAAATCTTTAATTTTTTTATTAAAATAGTATCATCATCATCATCGCCATGATCCCCATGATTATTATTATTATCACCACCACCGCTGCCACCATCATCATTATTATCATCATCATCATCATCACAACCACCACTATCACTGTCGTCATTATCATCACTATCACCCTCATCACCATCGTCACTACCATCAACACCATCATCGTCGTCATCTTCATCATCATTGACCTAATTTCATCAACCTCATCATCATCACCGACCTCATCATCATCGTCATCACCATAACTATCACATCACCATTATCATCATCGCCATCATCTTTTTCACAGTTAAAAAGAGTTTGGAGGCAACTGACATGTGGTTCTTGAGAAAAGTGGTGCAAAAACATTGAACTGCTAGAATAACTGACACTGATTGTTTGGAAATGGCTAATGACAGTTGAACATTATGTACAGCAGTGAGAAGGAATCAAACAAACTTCTTTGGTCAAGTGATGAGAACAGGAGCACTGGAACATATCGTGACGACTGGAAAGACAGAGGCAGACCAAGAGAAATGATAATGGATGGCTTAAGACAGTGGCATAAAGGAATATCATCAGGAAATAGATCCATAACATTAAAGAAAAACCGAGATCTGTAAAGATGCTCGAACGCCCACACCTGTTGGCAATGCAGTAGATTAAGATGATAGTTTTATTAGGTTTTTTCATGTTTGTATAATTCAGATATAAAGACTAGTTGTTACATTTCCTAATCTCCTTTCATATCAATAAATATCTCGGGCACAGCGACACATATGGCAGCCACGACAGCGACCGCCTCGATCGAGCCATCATCGACGTTTGTAGATGCAACTCCGCAAATAACAACATCGGCGATTGAATCTTCTTTAGGAATTTCATCGTCAGTTCCTGCCGTGAATTCTGAAAATACATTCATCACACCATCTGCGACGCTTGGGTCTGAACCATCAACTACTCACCCGCCACCAGATGAAAAAAGTTCGTATATTATTTGTTAGTTTTCCTCACGTAGCAAGCACGCCAAAGTCTCGTGGGGAAGAAAAAAAAAGAGGTGGGGGGGGGGGGGGGGTGAGGAATATCTGCTAGGAAATTACCAAGCAGAAGGATTGCTGGTTCCACACGAACTGGTTGTGAATTTATGCTTGACAAGCTAGAGGTGGTCAAAGCCCTTTGTGAGCAAGTGAGTAATGCTTAGGCACAAAGGACGTATTTGAGTCTGCTACAGCTAGGAGTAACGATGGTCGACACTACACACTCAGAGGAAAGGCAAGACGGACATATAGTCAGTCCAACTGCTACTAACACCATCAGAATTGGAACTGTTCGCTAGCTGCTTTAGATGAGGACAAAGCTCTTGTGGGAATGTCCTAAGTGCTATGATGTCAACACAACACTCAACTCAGCTGTATATAATGTCGTTGTAATCCTGCAGACATGTTTTGATCTGAGACAAGAAAGCTGGCCATTGTTTCAAGATTGATTTGATTTGATTTGATTTAGGAACCGAGATCACAGCACCCTGATCATTCCCATAAGCGCTCCGTTCCCATCTTCAGCAGCCACTGAAGAGTTTTAAGAGTAAATATTTACTATGTCTATGTTTGCATACACAAACAAACATGCATACCTTCATACATAGATGCATGCATACATAAATATATACATACAAACATAATACACAGGTAGCTACGAATGTAGTATATATGTACGCATGTAAATGTAAACAAACATACACATGTATGCACGTAGGTACCTCCATGAGAACAATCAATTGAGGTACCGTGGAGTGACTGCTACATTGTGGGACTCGGGACGCATGGCAATTCCAAAAGTGCAGCGGCGTCGATTGTGACAATATAACATAACATTCACACACACACGCGCGCAGCCGCACATGTCTATCAATAAACACACTGCTGTCCGCTTGAAGGTGCAAAGGATAGAACGGAATGCAGGAAAAGTTAGCGAGCTCTATCTAACATATAACGGCACACCAGGATTTTGATGGTGAATGATATTGTGTGCTTGACAGTTGTCTACCTTCTTGTGGAGTTTCCAGGGCCTTATTTGGTTGGAAACAAAATAAAGGGGTGAGGGGAGGAGTGAGCTGGGAAAGGCCACACAGCCTCCCAAACGTATCATGAAAAGCGACTGATTAGGAAAGTGAACCTTTCCGAGAGACGGGGAAACCAGCGGTCTGCATACAAATAAACGAGATCTATAAAATGAATGTACACGGTAAACTCAAATCGAGAGTTACAGTCACTGAATGCTGAGAATAAAAAAGTATGTGTGTCAATTGCTTTTTCCATGCATGGTTTACCATTCTTTATATATACGTTCGTAAATGCGCATGTGCAGTAGTCGGAACGCAAGATCCACCATTTGCCCATGAGATACGTACAGCCAACGCCTTCTCTAATAAATAGAGTAGGCCGTGGTACAGCAAACAAGACTATGTCTATATCTGTGCAGGCAATGATGGAGACAATAACCATATTAGACATGATTTCTATTTTCTTTCTTTTCAAACAACCTTCTATGAGTTGGAGAGTAGCCGATATATTTGAAGAAAGGGGGGGGGGGGGGGGGGGGGGTTCATCAAGGACTATCTCGGCGTCTGCCCAGGCAAACATTGCGACATTAACCGTGTTAGACATGTGCTATGTCTATTGTTGTGCCATTTCAATAATTTATCTGGAATATCTGTCTATGAGAAAAACAATTTCCTGCGGTTTTGAGTTGTGTTATAATCCGGACACAGTAGTAGGGACACACATCTTAAACAGTTGTGTTCTCTTTTCGTTGCTCCTGTGGAGTGGTTGCTTAGCCGAATAGTCAGAACACTGGGCTACCGTACGGGAGACCAGGGTTCAAATCCGCACCTGAAGTGTTGTGTCGACAGCACTAGCCATGTCGCCCTTATTTAAAAAAAAAGTACAGATATGTGGGTAAACCGGTTGATAATTAAATCTGACCATTTCGTATACTTATGATTTCATTTCAAACATTCTGATTGCATGGTTACGCTGAATTTTCACAGATTTCCATTTATTTTCATTTAGATTTGATCATTTCATCTAATTTTAGGCTGTGCTGTTTACCATAGCGTTTATTTCCTAATTATGGTGTATTTTTTCTGTTTTTATTGCTGGTCACTTTTTTTTTCTCCCAACTACTTCGATGAGGGAAAGCGTAGTCTGTAAATTGGGGAGGGAGGGGCACAAACTGTTTACCTAAAGAGCTATAGGTCACAGTAACTTCCTTACCCACTCAAAGTAGCAGCAGCAGCAGTAGTTGTGGTTGGGCGGTTACATCGTAGTGCTGTCATGCCGGAGACCGCCGGTAAGGTTATGGTGTTCTGTCGGGGAGCGAAATTATACATCCTAACCTGACAAGTCCGTGGCGACAGCACTAGCCATGCGGCGCCAAATCTTCTGGCTCACGACTCCCTGTCTACTCCGATGGTAAAACAGATAGCAGCGACATTATTTTCGCCATTGTGGTGGTGGTCGTGGTAGTAGTTGTACTGGTACTTGAAGGATGGTGTGGTAAATATTACACTAGCCCCATTTACTACCTATTACAATTCCTACTCCCCATTTTAGTCCGGATGGACAGTGATGCCAATGTCAGTTTTAAAAAAAATCGCCAGGTGATGGTTTTCAAATCCTTCGAAGAGCTAAAGAGCAGTAGTCGGTGGATGGAGGGGGGGGGGGGGAGGGGGTGATGACTAAAATTGTTAACATAAGGAGCTTAACACATGATTTTAAAGATCTCATTACTTAATTTGTTTATATATTACTAACGATACCTCCGCTATTCTAAATTTTTACGACTTACTTTGTTTTTTACAAATACAGTAGTAGCTTTACTTCCGTCTCCTATAAAAATACAAACAGCTTTAGCATGTGATAACAAAATAACCATTTTTTGTGACTGTTCCAATAACACCATTTAAACGACTACTAATATAAAAACACAATTTCATGGTGCGATTTCTATTGTCTTTCATTTCCAAAAACCTTTAATGAGGGAGAGAGTAGTAGGTGGATTTGGTGATGGTGGGGTTTGGGATCAAAGACTATCTATATATCTGAGCAGACAATGATTGCGACAATAAACATATTAGACACATAGGATTTCTATTTTCTTTTTTCTCATTTAGCCAAACGATGCCACAGCCGGGTACAGCTAGTATATATGTATATCTTCTACAACGATATGTGTTTTTAACGTCTCTTTAGAAATAGCCTATGACAACGCAGTTGACACATTGTGTAACATATATGATACCTGGAACTGTACAGAGGTCACCTGCCCGAAAGAAGATCAACAGCCTGTCGACAATGAATATTGCAGGTAAATTATATTTGTAAAACACAAGTGAAATCCTTTTCGTAATTATGATTTGGTCACGATTCTTCACTCTTAGCTACAGTTTGATTAGGGGTAATTTTCTTAAACAGATAAACAGAGTAATAAAGATGTCTTGAGAAACTGACTCACAAAGAAGAACTGATTGCCTACATCAGTAAGAGACATTCTACATTCTCTGCTCTTGTCATGAGAAGGAGAAAAATGTAGTACATCGTCACTTTGAGGCAGTTGAAGAGAAGAGAGGCAGAGGGAGACCATGGGAGAAGATGCAGTTGGAAATCATTTGTGTCAAGTGTAGAATGAAAGTTCACGAGACAGAAGGCTGTGGATGGACATAACTAACAACGCCACAAGGCATGGATTTTGAGAAGAAGACGGAAATGACGAAATGACTAAGACAGGAGCAAATAGGCAAACTAGGAACAGAATTGATCTGATGCACCATAGACCAAGATCTTTTGAAAGATATGGCCACTATCTTACAAATTCATGAATACACCACACACATGAGGCTACAATGTCTCATAGAACTAACTGGAAAGGTTACTGAATGCCCGAAGAAGCTGGAGGTGTCGTCGGCCGAAAGGCGCAGATATCCCTTCTGTGCTTGAAACAGGCACAACTCATTCGACTAAGAAGAAGAAGAAGAAGAAGAAGAAGAAGAAGAAGAAGAAGAAGAAGAAGAAGAAGAAGAAGAAGAAGAAGAAGAAGAAGAAGAAGAAGAAGAAGAAAAGAAGAAGAAGACGAGAATAAAAAAAAAACAATAGAATAAATGAAGTATAAGAAGAAACATGCCTGGGATTGTGTTGTGACAGTTGTTTGTGTTGTTATTGTTGTGTTGATGATGACAATGATGCTTTTTCAAAAGCTCAGGCGCCAATAGTTTGATCCTTTTTGGTAATGCATGGTTAGACACTTTCCTGAGATGTTTATGGCATTTGTAATGGGATATAGCAGCATAAGTGGTAATCCATTAGAAAGAAAAAACAAAACGGAGCCTAAATTAAAACTAAATTTAGTTGAAATGAAAGTGTCTTAATCAGCGGTTCCAAAACTGTGCGCCACGGCGCCCCAAGGAGCCGCGACCTTTTCACAGGGGCGCAGCAAAATGTTTGATACACGAATTTTTTTCTTTTTGTTTCTTACTTACGAATAGTCATACTTTCACTTAGGTTAGCAAGCCATGGAAAAAGTTTAATTGTAAAAAGTTTCCGAAACTAATGACAAGTTTGGGAAACATTGGTATAGATTATTGGCTGGTCCCAACTATTTTTTTTTTTTTTACGTTAGTGTAGCTCATTTCATCAGCCTCATCATCATCATCATCGCCATTAACACCACAACCACCTTAATCCCCCTTTAATTGCCCAAAACAATCGTCACCATCTCCACTTCGATTACGAGCCAAACCGCTATCATCATCATCATCATCATCATTATCACTGTCATCATCATCATCATCATCATTATCATTATCATCATCATCATCATTACCACTGTCATCATCATCATCATCATCATCATTACCACTGTCATCATCATCATCACCATCATCATAATCATCATCAGCATTACCACTGTCATCATCATCATCATCATCATCAATATCACTATCACTGCCATCAACACAACCAATACTTCCACCTGCACAACTACTATCTCATTATCATCATCATCATGTTCAACAATAGCTTTATCTTCTTGTCTATTGTCATGCGAATGCAGTGTCCTAAAAATAAAATACCAGCTCTCATATATACTAGTTCCGCTTTCGTGCAGATACATCAAGGAACTTGTACGTCAAATGAAGGAGGCCGACTGTAACAACAAAAGTGAAACTGCGCTAACAGAGCCTTTCAAGGTATACACGATACAAGACCCCACCTGCAGTAAGTTTTTCATAATTATATATTACTCTGAAGTCTATAATCGAGCTTTTAAACTCCCCCCCCCCCCCCCCCCCCAACACCCTTTTTTCAGATACAATTAAAATAAAGGGTATGGCGAATATAGTACTAGACCAATCACACTAGGTAAGTGATGTGGTTCGCATCATGCCGGCTGCTTTTACTTTACATGACTTTACTTGTTACACATTTAAGGTTGAGTCGATCTGGTAGCCAAGGTCAGTTTAAAAAAAGAAGAAGAAAAAAAAAACTCAAACTCGATACTTGTTTGAACCCACGACTTCAGATACGTAGGCGAGAACCTAGCCGCTACACCGCGGAGGGTGCCTTGTAAGAAAAAAAAACAGTTTAATTAGCGAGTTGATGAATAAACTGAAGGCTTTTTGATTTTAGCGCAAACTGCTAAATCTTCATGTCAGGGGTCTTTTGCAGAAAATAGCTCTCATTGCAGTCTGTATGAAAGAATCTCTGTCTCCTGACAGCTCTCTGGCCTCGTGCACTTTCCTATCCAAGCTGTCACTAACATCCTGGGCCCAGCTTCGTGCTGGTCAACCTTTAACTCTCACTCTCAGTACCTTTACCCCTTCTTCTCGGAACATGCCTTCTCTTATTATTTTGCTGCACTGCTGCAGGCAACTGTAGACAAAGTGACTGACTGGTGTGCAAAAATGGGTGTTGTCGTCAACTCAGGAAAAGGCGGCTACTTTGTGGGGCTCTCTGGGCAATTGAATTGTAAGAGCTAATGTTCCAAGCCTCACATTTAATATCAGTAAAATCAGAAGAGAAAAAAAACTGAGGTACCTGGGTATCATTTTCGATAGAAGCCTGCCTTATAGGGATCACGTAGAGACAGTTGTGGTGAAATGCCAGAAAGGACTTAATGCTCTCAAGATCAAGGCAGCAATGGGCATGGAACAAAGAGTGCTGTTCACAATGCTAGAGCAAATGATCCTGTCGGCGATAGATTATGGACTTGGAATGCTTAACATATCGAAGAGTCAGCTGATGAAACTTGAAACCATGCGGGTAATTCTGGGATGTACAAGAGATACCCCGGAAGTTAGTTAGTTAGTTAGTTAGTTGGGTTATCCTCATTGCACTCCGGACATGTCCATAGGTGCTCAGATCCTCCCCTCAGTATGAACCCCAACTTCCAATGGCTAATAGTACCAGTTCTATGTTGATTAACAAGTCTTCTGGCGTGTCTGGTGTGCGTCTCGTTTTTTGCTGTACCGATCTTAATTCCCAAGTCTACCATTCTGGCGAGTGATGTTGATTCACTGCCACCAAAGTCCTCTATCCTTCCCATTTCTCTGAGGGCATTGATAATATCAGCATGATCCATAGGCTGACCGTCGGTAGTGATAGCGGATCCAGCCAACCTGTCAGCTCTTTCATTTCCATCGACGCCTGCGTGTCCCGGAACAAAAATAAAGGTGACTCCACGCACAGTGGACTTCTGTATAATTCAAGCCATTGTCTTCGCACTGAACCCCGGAAGTATATATGCGATGTATACCTGCACTGCTTACTATTGCAGATAGGCTTAAAGTTCTGCATGTAAAGTCAAATTTCAAAGAAGCTGCAGACAAGAAGTACCTCTTGCATGAAGCCCTGGGTAGAGCTAAGGGTCACAGACTGAAAAGAGGAAGGTCTTGCATAACGCAAGCTAGAGACACAATCAGACATGTGTGCAGGCTTGCTAGTATTGAGAGAGGAGAGGAGTCGGTCAAGGTGTCCGAACAAGATTCAGACTTGTGCAGGGTTATAATCACGTTAGGACGTGAGTGTAGAGACTGGCAGCTGGTGCTGCAGAATTAGAAGTTCAACACATTTTTATGATACTTCCTGCTCAAGTGGTGTGATTATAAATACGGTGGCTCTGTGTTAAGGATATGACGAAGTGCATGGAGTATGAAAGCAAAGGCGAATGGACGTCGCCTAATGCAGCCAAGCCTTGCATATGATATCACAACGTCTAGTTTGAGAATAGAGGTGGAGGCAGTCTCTGCTGCCTTCCGCTAGCTTAAGAATCAGCTGTACGTACATGCCGTGACTGTAACTGACTCTTAGAGCATGTTGAAAAAGGTGAAAACAGGCATGCTTCGTGCAGAGTGGCAAGCATGACTTCAGAGGTCCCGACGCTCAACACTCAGGGGAAGAATGAGACAGATATACAATCAGACTGTTACGGGTAACATCGGAATTGAAACTCTTCTCTTGCTGCTGAAGATGGGGACTGAGCACTTGTGGGAGTGTCAACATTCTGTAATTATTTTGTCTATTTCCTTGTGTCGCTTTTTTTTTAAAACTCAAAAGATGTCAATTAATCTCTTCCCCAGCTGGATGTATTGCTCAGATGTCGTTGATCTTGCTGATGTTCGCTCTTTTTATCCCTGCAATTAAATGTACACAGTAGAATCCTTAATTAGCCTGGGACGACAAACGTGATGAAAAAACTGTACTTTTTAGAAGATATTTATCCTGAAGAAATCATTCTTGTTGGTGTCTAATGAACACATTATATGATTAACAATAATCACACAAGTCAAACACAAAAGCAGTCTTTGATATTTATTAATCTCATTCCAGATTGTACGTGTCAAATTGCTTTATGAATTTTTTTGTTTAACGACTCCCTCTATGACTCAATATGCAGTTCTAGTTATGAATACACATTTATGTGTTTCAATTACAATTTGTTTTGTTGAAATATTTTGAAAGTATTTTCTTATTTATATTTCTTTTTATTTTGTTTTAAATATTCTATTTCTTCTGCATTCTGAGCCCTTGAAGTTCAGAGCTGCAGATATCACTCGCTTGCACATATTTCTTTGATTTTCGCCCTGTTTTTTTTAGTTAGAGACTGCAAGGGCTTGTAGATGTGCCACGACACTAACTCTCTATTTCTGTTTCTTACTCATGGTATATTTCAGTTAGGTTGACCATAAAAAAAAGAGAAAGTAAAGGACCCTTTCCACGCCTTTAGAAGTATTGGGCATATAGGGCTCGGCCTACATTTAAAAACCACTCTCGGCACTTGGTTTGTGATGTGTTCAACATCACTCTGGCCGCCTTTACTTCCCAAGACTGCACCTGGTACCCACTCAAGGCTAGGTAGACCTAGGAGCCAAGATCATTTTTTAAGGTTACCATACGTTCAATTTTCACTGAGACGGTTCCGCTTATTATGTGTGGCCCGGCTGTTCCGTCGGTACTCAGAAAAATTGCCGACTGTATACGTTAGAACATATACTTGTAATGCTGAGATTTTAAGACGTTTTGTTAAAAAAAAAATAAAAAAAATAAATAGCATGTTGTCTTTTTTATTTTTTGACAACTAAACAAAAAATCGGGTTTTAACATTATTGTTGATTAAGCCTGGTGATCTAAAAAAAAAAAAATAGGTGCAGGGATAAACTGCTTTGCTTGGGATATTTTGTTAGCTCAAATTGTAGAGGGATATCCCGTTTTCAGCGAAACTATTAGCTGGATGTCCTGTTTTCGGCTCAAGATAATACAGCCGATCGTACTCCATTTCAACTCCGTCATGTTCACATTTTTTTTGCCTGTCTGTCACCTGTCAGTCTCTTTACATATGCCGCAGTCTGTTCATTATCTCCTGCTATTGTTTTATCCTATACACCTCACCAACACTTATGAAAAAAAAACTTATTTAATCTTTTCTTTATTTATTTATTGACACAATTATTTTCTCTTGCGAACGCTTCTGTCTCTCCGCCCCCCTCCCCCTTTTTTCGAGTGCCTTTCAAATAACAGTTGACAGTCATGATTCAGCATCTTATACCTTCACCAACATTACGAATCAGGTCTGTGTTCTGCTTCCAGCTAAACACTGTGGCAAAGCTTGCGTTTGTGCATCAAATTCACTAATATTCACCAAACTTTCGAGTTATTCCGTTCACAGCATATCCATGTTAATTGTTCCATTGCTAATGTTTCTGGCTAATCGTTAATAGTTTTTAACGTACCGTAAGTCTGAATGTATGCACTGATAACTTTTGTAAATGCATGCATTCGCATGTTTTATTGTTTATTTAGCATGCATTTGTACTATTTAGTAGCGTACAAATTCACGGAAATGTAACAGAACAAGGCTAGAAAGCACAAATTGGAGAGTAGTGACGATAATGACATACATCGTTATCTGGACATTTAATTAAAGAAAGACATTTATTACATCTCGAAAAACACGGTGAAATAACAGGACAACACACAGAAATAATGACTGATAGTCCTTGAGGCGTAGTAGGGACATATCATCTATAGAACTGATCTAAAACATAAGGGCAACATACAGAAATAATGACTGATAGTCCTTGAGGCGTAGTAGGGACATATCATCTATAGAACTGATCTAAAACATCAGGGCAACATACAGAAATAATGACTGATAGTCCTTGAGGCGTAGTAGGGACATATCATCTATAGAACTGATCTAAAACATCAGGGCAACATACAGAAATAATGACTGATAGTCCTTGAGGCGTAGTAGGGACATATCATTTATAGAACTGATCTAAAACATCAGGGCAACATACAGAAATAATGACTGATAGTCCTTGAGGCGTAGTAGGGACATATCATTTATAGAACTGATCTAAAACATAAGGAGCCGAACGCAGAGAAAAGACATCAACATCATCATCATATGACTTGGCGATTATGATGATGAATTTGTGCATAGTCCTCTTCTCCCTTGTCTTCGCTTTTAACAACCCACATTTTCCCATTTATGTGGTAACTTTGCCTTTTTCTTCTTTATCACGGGCTTAAACTCTGGTGGAAATGTCTGATTATTCGTCCATCTCTGGACTTTAGTCTTGTTCCGGAACCTGAATGTTGTGTGTACATCCGTTTTACAAATCTGGCTTATCTGTATACAGACTACCGGTTCCTTATCTCACATGCAGAAGCATTCCGACTTCAAAGGAAACACCCGTAATTAGTGGCTTATTTTCGACAAGGTGGTTAGAGGCAGTCACTCCATTCTTATCTTCTGTCTCTAAAATGGGTGTCTGGAACTCACACGAGGAGTCATCATTTTTGTTGTTGAAATAATTAACCACTTGAGGAGAGGTTGAGACATGTTGTGTGAAATTTAAACAATACACAGATCATTGTAGATTAATGTGAAAGAATAATTAGTAACAATAAAATCCGTCACGTTAAAACAGAATGATGTAGGCTGTTTGTTTATTTCAAGATTGGTTCAGTGCATAAATGTGTCGTATGTATTTTTTTGAATTGTGTTTAATTTCTTCCTTAATTTTGGTGGTTTTTGTTTCCTTATATTGACACACACACATACACACACACACAGAGAGAGAGAGAGAGAGAGAGAGAGAGAGAGAGAGAGAGAGAGATAGAGAGAGAGAGAGAGAGAGAGAACGAAGGAACAAACGAACGAACTTTATTTTCTTAGGGTCACAAATTGGGCACGCAGGCCCGTCTTACATTCAGCCCTTTCAAACACCTGTCTTTCACACTGCAGCTATATTTTATCAATAAGCATGTTATATTCATATGATAATATGCATATTATGAATATCAAAAAAGAGAAAAAAAAAGAAGAAAAAAAAAAGAAAGAAAAAGCACAGAGAGAGAGAGAGAGAGAGAGAGAGAGAGAGAGAGAGAGAGAGAGAGAGAGAGAGAGAGAGAGACTATGGGAGAATCTGCGAGATACAGAGGCAGACAGACAGAGAGAGCACATAGAGAGACAGAGATACAGAAACAAAGAGAGATGGGGTGGGGGGAGACAGCACTGGAGAAAAACAAGTGAAGAGATATATCTATTGATCAGTTTGTCCCCTTTGGTCTGCTACCTAAAGGTTTACCAAACCATCATGAGATTACCAAATCTAAATCTGGACGACAGACACACAAGGCAGAGCCAAGGTTTCCCTGTTCAACCTTCGAAGAAGTTATATCGAAGACACCGGTTGTGGTTACACCAGCCATGCCAACCTGCAGTCCTTCGCGAGTCATGACAGGAGCGAGGAGAAAAGGGAAGAGAGATGATTAGAGATAGAAAAAGAAGAAGAGAAAGTTATGGAAAGGGAAAAAGGAAAATGAACGAACAAACGTTTTTTTTTTTTCAAACTGTCACATAATAGGTATAGTCAGGATAGAAAGAGAAAGGGAGAAAGGGAAAGCGGAATAGACAAGAAGGGAGATAGAGGTCTTATTTGCGGGTTTGCTGTAATCAACAAAGCACAAGCATAGGCCTTACTTGACCTCCATTTAATAGTTTGGAATGTGAATATTCTATATGTCTTCGTCTTGGATGATGGACCAGTGGAGTTGTTAACAGCACTACAGATTGTTGCAGTTTAACAAATACATGGGAAACTCATGTAAACATCAACACGAATTTATGCATGCGATCTTAGATTTCCCATGTTCTTAAGATTTTATAATCTGCAAATTACAAAATGTTACTGTTTTGTGAAGCGGCTAATTTTTCGATCTGTATTTGACTAATAAACAGGGTAGCCCTTAAAAAAATATTTAGTAATTGACACGGGCCTGGAGATTGTTTAGAAATCAGTTCACCTGTTTAGAAATCAGTTCACCTGTTTAGAAATCAGTTCACCTGTTTAGAAATCAGTTCACCTGTTTAGAAATCAGTTCACCTGTTCAGAAATCAGTTCACCTGTTTAGAAATCAGTTCACCTGTTTAGAAATCAGTTCACCTGTTCAGAAACCAGTTCACCTGTTTAGAAATCAGTTCACCTGTTTTAGAAATCAGTTCACCTGTTTTAGAAATCAGTCACCTGTTTACGAAATCAGTTCACCTGTTTTAGAAATCAGTTCACCTGTTTAGAAATCAGTTCACCTGTTTAGAAATCAGTTCACCTCCGTTTTTAGAAATCAGTTCACCTGTTTAGAAATCAGTTCAACCTGTTTAGAAATCAGTTCACCTGTTTTAGAAATCAGTTCAACCTGTTTAGAAATCAGTTCACCTGTTTTGAAATCAGTTCACCTGTTTTAGAAATCAGTTCACCTGTTTAGAATACCAGTTCACCTGTTTTTAGAAATCAGTTCACCTGTTTAGAAATCAGTTCACCTGTTTAGAAATCAGTTCACCTGTTTAGAAATCCGTTCACCTGTTAGAAATCAGTTCACCTGTTTTTAGAAATCAGTTCACCTGTTAGAAATCAGTTCACCTGTTTAGAAATCAGTTCACCTGTTTAGAAATCAGTTCACCTGTTTAGAAATCAGTTCACCTGTTAGAAATCAGTTTCACACTGTCTGTTAGAAATCAGTTCAACACTGTTTAGAAATCAGTCAACCTGTTTAGAAATCAGTTCACCTGTTCAGAAATCAGTTCACCTTGTTTAAGAAATCAGTTCACCTGTTTTTAGAATCAGTTCACCTGTTTTAGAAATCAGTTCA